GAGCAGAGGGTGGCCAGCGCTTTCCCATTTAACGGCAGTAATGAAACCTCCCTTGCCAGCAACTTCTCCAGCAAAGCGTTTTCAAGGAAAACAGGAGGCCAGCACAAAGGCAATGCTAATTACCTCTCATTACTCAGAATAGGAAAGCAATGCTTTTGGTGATGTGCTCCTAATGTGATAAAGAGCTATTATTAGGCAGAAGCTGGGAAGCTGCCACGGAGACAGTGTGAGGAGGGAGTGGAGTTTCCAAAGCTGCTGGTCCCAGAGGCAAACAAACAGGGGGTGGTGGCAGGGGCAGGCCAGGAGCGACTACAATTAAAGGAGGACCTACTGTGTGTCAAGCATCTTACATGCACTGCCCTGAAAGTTAGGCGTTTCCACCATTTCCTAGATGAGGACACAGACAGAGAAGTTAAGTAACTGGACCAAGTTCACACAGCCAGTAAACCAGAGGCAGAGCCAGTATTCTAAGCCAGGCCTCTCTGGTGTCAAAGGCTGTGCTCTTCCTACCATATTCCATTCCCAGTAGAAATCAGATCTTGCAAAGGCTTTGCAGCATTAAGAGCTACTTTCTTCCACAGATGCTTTTTATCTCTGATTCTTCCGGCAAAGGGAGACTCCTGGGGTGCTGAGGTGCAAAGTCCCTGCTCCCCTTCACCCCATTCATGGTACAGGGACCTTGAATAGGACACAGAGCCCCAGACACAGGTCAGGAGGCATCAGCTCTGAGTCCTGTTGATAGTGACAGGATGCAGTCAAATGCCTAGGCAGATGGGGCGGGTCACTGGTGAAACTCCACCTTCAAGCCAGAAACACAGCCTGAAGGCTAAAGACGGAACTGCTGATCCCAGATGAAAACCGCAACCCAGAGTGAGAACTTCTGTTCCTGTTTGCCCACCCTCTTCTGAGCACATAAAAGCCCCGAGCTCAGCACACTGGGGTGGCGGAGGCTTTCCTGCCTGTGGGTAGGAGAACCACTCCCACATCTCCACTCTGCAGAAAAGCTATTTGATCACTCAATAAAACTCCTGGCCTTGCCTAGTCTTCAATTGTCAGCGTATCCTCATTCTTCTTGGATGCTGGACAAGAGCTTGGGACCCACCAAGTGTGGGTACCCAGAAGGGCTGTCACCCTGGCCTTCTGCTTCTGCCCTCACCAGCTAAGGACAGCTGCCCCGCTCAATGGGGCCGGGGCCAATACATTACCATTCACTGGGCCGTGGATGGTGGAACTAAAACAGCTAATTAGCACACCAACACCCCCTCTGGGGTTTCAGGGTTGCCACATTCCCCTCGAGGCAACACACCTGGTCTGGCCACAGGCCCCATGGAGCTTGCTCCTGTGTCGGTGCTTGGTGTGGTCAGTCAGACCCCGCACTTGCTCGTTCACATGCTCCCTCCTGCAAGGGGCTGCATGTGGCGGGCTGAGTGGATGGGAGGCCCTGCTGCAAGTGTAGCAAAGGGGCTGAGAGAAAAATCCTGTGTCACTGTGGTTTGCTGGCCTTGCAACTCAGCTGACCTCATTCCCACAGGGAAGTGGAGAGCACAGCTTCCAACCTGGGTTCAGAGTCCAAACCCACAACTCTGGCTATGACTCCATGCTCCTGAGTCTCAGTTTCCCAATCTGTGATTTGGGAATGCTTGATACTTCCTCTAGGGAGTTGTGAGGTTTACGCATGTGAGCCAAGTCTATCTGGGATAAAGTTGGTCTGAAAGGCTTCCTGTGGCTCCGGGACAGACGCCCATACCTCTCCCGTGAAGACTCTAACTAGGAGCAACCAGTTTTATAAATGGATGAGTCTAGAAACGCCTCTTACTCTACCCCAGCTCCCAGTTAGGAAGGTTAGGAAGGCACAGGGTGGCTTCATTTGTGCTCCTCCGGTGGGGTAGGAATTATGTTTTAGGGCCCTGGGAGTTGTTAGGTTTTATTTGGCATGGAGTCTAGTTCTGTCACCCAGGCTGGAGTGCAGAGGCACCATCTTGGCTCACTGCAACCTCTGCCTCCCTAGTTTAAGCGATTCTGCTGTCTCAGCCTCCCAAGTAGCTGGGACTACAGGCGCCCACCACTACGCCCAGCTAATTTTTGTATTTTTAGTAGAGATGGGGTTTTGCCATCTCTGCCTCCTGGGTTCAAGTAATTCTCCTGCCTCAGCCTCCTGAGTAGCTGGGACTACAGGTGTGCAGCACCACATCTGGCTAACTTTTTGTATTTCAGTAGAGATGGGGTTTCACCATATTGGCCAGGCTGGTCTCGAACTCCTGACCTCATGATTTGCCTGCCTCAGCCTCCCAAAGTGCTGGGATTACAAGTGTGAGCCACGGTGGCTGCCAGGGCCCTGGGAGTTTAGGGGTGAAGATACAAGTAAGAATGAATTGGCCCCAGCGACCTGGTGTCAGGCTGAGTGAGAGGCCTGAATGATCTCTGGGCAGGGACATGGCTGATGGACTTCATGGGCAGCAGCACCTGGTGAAGTTTTGATTTTGTTTTTTGTGGAAGAATTCCCCCATGTTATCAAATGCTCAGTCAAGTCTCAAAAAACATGCAGCCTAGTGTGAGCCACCCTGGGGTGGGTCAGGTGCCCAGCTTCATTGGCCATTGAGATGCAGTGGCAGAGTGGTCAGAACAGGCAGCTGCTGATGCTGTACGGGGAAGCCAGAGTGCCCCTCAAGCCAGGGGACTTTTAGCTGCCTAGAAAGGAGTCTAGTCTGTCTTCAGGTAGGAGGTGCTCAAACTATCATTAATGGAAACTGGGTGATACGGTTTAGCTGTGTCCCCACTCAAATCTCAAGTTGAACTGTATTCCCACAAACCCCATGTGTTGTGGGAGGGACCCGGTGGGAGATAATGAAATCACAGGGTGGTTTTCGCCATACTGTTGTCGTGGTAGTGAATAAGTCTCCTGAGATCTGATGGCTTTATAAAGGGAAATCTCTTTTGCTTGGCTCTCATTCTCTCTTGTCTGCCACCATGTAAGATGTGCCTTTCATCTTCCACCATGATTGTGAGGCCTCCCCAGCTATGTGGAACCGTGAGTTTATTAAACCTCTTTTTCTTTATAAATTACCCAGTCTCAGGTATGTCTTTATCAGCAGCGTGAAAACGGACTAATACACAGATAACACTTGATAAATGGCAGCCAACAACATAATAACCACAAACCAAAGATTCTGTTCTCAGGATCCCTTGACACTGCAAGGGTTTGTATGGGCTGAAGTTGGCCTGTGCTTGTAGTTACAGCTTATTCCTGCCCACCCCCGTCCTCTCCCCCTGTGGGGCACCTGTCCCACTGTTTCTCATCCCTGCCTGGGCCGGGGCTACATTCTTTGGCTTCAGACCTGGGTTCGAGTCCTGCTTTGCCATGTTCCAGCAGTGTGACCCTGGAATGTCTCTAAGCCTCAGTGACCTTGTCTGCACAATGGGGACAGTAGTGACTGTAAAAGGCTTAGGGCAGGCTGGGAGCAGTGGTTCACACCTGTAATCCTAGCACTCTGGGAGGCTGAGGTCAGGAGTTTGAGAACAGCCTGACTAACATGGCGAAATCCTGCCCCTATTAAAAATACAAAAAAAAAAAAAAAAATTAGCTGGGCGTGGTGGTGGGAGCCTGTAATCTCAGCTACTAGGGAGGCCTAGGCAGGAGGACTGCTTGAACCCGGGAGGTGGAGGTTGCAGTGAGCCGAGATTGCACCACTGCACTCCAGTCTGGGCAACAGAGTGAGACCCCATCTCAAAAAAAAAAAAAAAAAGAAAAGAAAAGAAAAGAAAAATTCAAGTGGGGTTTGTGTGGCTGCCCAGCAGGTGCCCTCCCACCCCATTCCCTGCAAGAATTCTTTCTGACCATCTGCCCCTGCACCCCAGCCTAGTTTTAGCTGCATGGCAACCCTCAGGGAGTATGTTTAAAATGTGGACTTATGGCTCTGCCCCTAGAGACTGATGTAGAAGTTTTGAGTAGTGGGACCCAGGGCTCTGCATTTTTTTTTCTTTTTTTTGAGACGGAGTTTCACTCTTGTTACCCAGGCTGGAGTGCAATGGCGCGATCTCGGCTCACCGCAACCTCCACCTCCTGGGTTCAGGCAATTCTCCTGCCTCAGCCTCCCGAGTAGCTGGGATTACAGGCACACGCCACCATGCCCAGCTAATTTTTTGTATTTTTAGTAGAGATGGGGTTTCACCATGTTGACCAGGAGGGTCTCCATCTCTTGACCTCGTGATCCACCCACCTGGGCCTCCCAAAGTGCTGGGATTACAGGCTTGAGCCACCGCGCCCGGCCTGGGCTCTGCATTTTAAAGACATTCCCCAGATGCCCCGCTCTGCATCCCATCCTTCCACAGTCTAGGTGGGTGCTTCTGCTTTTGGTCTAGCCTAAAGGCCTCCATCTGTGTCCTCTGCTTGCTCCAGCTGCTTCTGGCGGAGACACACAGTCCTGACTAGTGAGCTGAGACGGGGCTGTTGGGGAGCCCTTGGTCGGGAGGACTCAGGAGTGGGGAATGGCAGAATTACAGGAGCAAGAGTGAGGGCTCTAGAGGTTCTAATCCAATCCTGGTCCTGTTAATTGCTAACTGTGTATCTGTGTGGTTTTTGTTTTTAGAGACAGGGTTGTGCTCTGATGCCCAGGCTGCAGTGTGGTGGCATGATCACGGCTCACTGTAGCCTCGATCTCCTAGACTCAAGTGATCCTCCCGCCTCAGCCTCCCGAGAGGCTAGTAGTACAGGCACATGCCACCATAACCAGCTAATTTAAAAAATTTTTTATAGAGATGGGGTTTTGCCATGTTGTCCAGGCTGGTCTCAAATTCCTGGGCTCAAGGGATCTGCCCTCCTGGGTCTCCCAAAGTGCCAGGGTTACAGGCATGAGCCAGTGCACCTGACTCCAAATGAATTCTTATGATCTCTGTCCTGTGGCGTGGAACAGGCTGGGGCCACTGTCTCCATGGGACAGGGGTGGCTGGGCTGGAGCAACTAAGCAAATGCAAAGCCCCAGGAGGGACAGGCTGATACTCACCACCGAGGTCAGGTCCACGTTCTCCACCCTCCTGTCCTGCAGCAGCACGGGCTGTAGGCCGGCGACGTGGAGCTGCACCGAGGATGTGCGGTACACGAAACTCAACAGCCAGTCTCCCCTGTGGGAGGGCAGAGAAGTGTGCAAACGTTAGCACCACCAGCCTCGGACAGCCCCAGGACAGGATGGGCCAGGCTGCCTCCTGGGGAGGCCTGGCGTGACTGGAGCTTGTGCGGGGAAAACAGGGCCCCCCTTTGCACGGTGGGGATGATGATGGTGGGCAGCAACAGCTGATGCTTTTGGAGTCTGGCCTGGGGGGCCAGGCATGGTGGCTAGGGCTTTGCACAAACACCAGGAAGCTCCATGAAGGCTGTTTGCTTTGTTCCCAGCTGGGTCTCCAGAGCTAGGAACAGTGTCTAGCATGCAATAGAGGAATATCTGTTGAATGAATGAATGATGAATCTGGATAAAGTTCTCAAAAAGTCAGCATGTGGCTCAGAAGAGCTGCTCTCAGCTTGGGAAAGGCGACTTGTCCAGGGCTCCCTGAAAAGCAGAGAAGGTCTGCCTATGAAGAGGGAGGAGCTCTGGGGTCTAGGTGACATATCTGTGTGCTGGAGGGACCAGCCTGGCCTTCCTAGGACAGGCTCAGCCCAGGCTGCAGGTCCTCCCTGCCCTCCGCCATCAGAGGAGGTGAGGGTAGTTGTCTCGGCAGTCACAGCGCTGTGAACATTCCTTTGCTTTCAGATGTGCGGTGACCCCCACTCCCTGAACCTGCCCCCAGCCAAACACTGCCCCTATGCTATCCAGAGGAAATGACTTTGGACCCTCTGCTGCCCATTTCTTCAGGTACAATGAGCACTATCTACAGAGGACATGGTCCGAGGAGCCCCTTGAGGCAGCCTTCCCTCGTAAACCCTTGAACTGTCTTGGGATGTAGCTGGGCCATCCCAGAGCCATGCCCTTGGCCTTGCCACTCAGCAAGTCTGAGCACAGGCAAGCTTCTGTTCTCCCCTCTGCACCCCAGACTCAGATCCAACTCAGCCCGTCCTGCTGTCTCTTATTTGGACTAATTCCGACTCTAGTTTGCATGGTGTTATTTTTGCACATTTGATCTGAAAGAAGGACCTCCCTCACTGCAGGGGGGTAAGAATGGCTGAGAGGTAGAAGGCCGGGGCTGGAGTCCCAGGGGCCCTGTTTATGCGCCCTGCTGTGTGACCACAGGCAAGTCCCCCACCTGTCTGGGATGCAAGGGGTGGTGGTTCTCTCTGGGCCTCTCCAAGTTCTGACCCTCTGTGGTCTCGGCACGTGGGTACATGAGTGGGTACCACTCTGAAAACCCCTAGGAGGACTGGGTTCCTGAGTTGAAGAGTCCTCTACAGACTCTCCTTTTGTGTCCCAAAATGAGCTCACCCATCCCTAACTCCTGCCCCACTGTCATCTGCCCATTCCTTTAAGTAGAAACCCATGTCTTGGGTGCCTCCTCCCCACGGCCAACTTATCGGAGTTCCGCCAATTCTTCCTCCCCTGGCCCTTCTACTCCAGCCCTGAGAGCAGGCAATCCTTCCTCCCCACACCATGGATGAATGCAACGGCCTCCTCACCCGGCTCCCTGCTCCTGGCCTCACTTACCTTGAGCCACTGGGGCCTTTCTAAAACACCCATCTGACCACCGCTCTCCCTTAGAAGCAGACCATGGCTCTTCATTGCCTGTGGGCTTTCTCATCTAGAAAATTCCTTCACTCTCTCCAGAGAACAATGCTTTCAGGTCCTGATGATCATCTTACTATTGAGGTCCCAAGAACCACTGTCTAAGAATGGACAGTTGCAGGGCACAGCGGCTCATGCCTGTAATCCCAGAACTTTGGGGGGCTGAGGTGGGAGGATTGAGGATTGCTTGGGCCCAGGTGTTTGAGACAAGCCTAGGTAACATAGGGAGACCCCATCTCTACAAAACACACAACAATTAGCTGTGTGTGGTGGTGTGTGCCTCTGGTCCCAGCTACTTGGGAGGTTGAGGAAGGAGGACCACCTAACCCCAAGGCGGTTGGGGCTGCAGTGAGCCATGATTGTGCCACTGCACTTCAGCCTGGGCAACAGAGTGAGACCTTGTCTCCAAAAAAAAACAAACAAAAAAAAGACTGGATGGCTAGAGGGAAAAAAGGAAAATCAATTCAAGTTGTTTTATTGAACTTTCCCTAAGAATCCAGAATATCAAATACTGGATATGAGGATGGTCGGGAAATGTCGCAATACAGCTGGGTATAAATGCGCAAAGACAGCGTCATCCCTCCAAAATTATTTGTTGTAATTATGACAACATTTTAGTTAACCTGTGAATTACATGTATTTGCACATGTGTAGGATGTAGGGACAGAGCAGGAACACAGGTTAGAAGGTTCTATACCCTCTCTCTGTGCTGAGCAAACCAGGGGCCTTTATTAGCATTTAAGACCTTCTCCATCCAGCTCTCGACCACACAGAGCCAGGTTCAATTACCCCCTTGTCAATTAGGAGCTGTGTGACCTTGGACAAGTTGCTTGACCTTTCTGAGCCTCAGTCTCATCAGGGTATCTTAGTTCCCAGTGTTGGTGGGAGCGTTACCTGAGGAGGTACATGTTACACACAGGTGCTCAGGGAGCCTCAGGCATGGCTATTAGTGCCTGTGCTGGGCCTGTGGGTGCTGTGCCGCCTCTCTCTGGCTCAGTCTGCGCTTCCAGCCTCTGATGAGTTTCTATATCCATCCTTTTAAAATTCACCTTGGACATCCCCTCCTCCAGGGAGTGCCCCTGGGCCTCTCCACCCAATACTATCTATTTTTTTTTGAGACAGGATCTTGCCCTGTTGCCCAGGCTGGAGTGCAGTGGCACAATCTTGCCTCATTGCAGCCTCTGCCTCCTGGGCTCAAGCCATCCTCCCACCTTAGCTTTCCAAGTAGCTGGGACTACAGGTGTGCACCACCATGCCTGCTAATTTTTATATTTTTTTTTGTAGAGACAGGGTTTTGCCATGTTGTTCAGGCTGGTCTTGAACTCCTTTCTGGGCTCAAGCGATCCTCCTGTCTCGGCCTCCCAAAGTGTGGGGATTGGAGGTGCAAGCCACTGCGCCTGGCCTCCATTCAAAATGATTATATGTTCACCCCTCGTGTGGCTGGTACTTGTTTCTTTTATGCTGTTTGCTACACATCCTCCTCTGTTTCCCCTTTTCTAGAAAGGCAGAGAGCTCCCTGAGGGCAGGCCTGTGCCTTAGTCATCCCTGTATCCTCAGCTGAACCGGGAACTCACAGCTGCTCTCTCCCAGGCCCTCCAGGCGAAGCTGATATGCAAACTCACGCTGAACCACTGCCACCTGCTGAAGGCAGACATGGCTCACCTACCAGGCCTGGAGCCACCTGCAGGCAGGGGTCCTCCCTGCTCCTTCTTCTGCCATCCCCGCCACACATGGCACCTGCGGTCGAGCCCACAGGGTGGCCTCTTGTCCCTGGGCTCCAAGGAGCCCCGCTGAAGACTCAGAATGCAACCCTCTCACGGTGGGTGAGACAGGCCTGAGCTCATATCCTGGCTCTGCCTGTGGGACCCTGGGCGAGCCACTTGCTTCTCTTTGAGCTTCACTTCTTCAGGGATGTGACAGGCAGCAGTGCTATCACCCCAACTAGCTTCCAGAAGGTTCCTGAATAGCCCAGGTAAGTGAGTGGATTTACAAAGAGCTTTAATAATGTAAATCACACATGAGTAAACTTGTGTAGTTGGGTGGTGTTGGCCTGAATCCCCTTCCCTCTCACCCCCCACGTTTAAGTTCACAGCAACCAAAAGGCCTTTGGAGGCCAAGAATCTGAACTCCTGGCTGGTGCTTAATTTAACCAAGAAACTACAGTTGTTTTGATCTATACTCTCTCCCCTTCCCTCCTTCCCTTTCTTCTTCTTGCTCCTCCTCCTCCTTTCTCTCCATAGAGAGATGCCCCGGGTCTCATAAAATAATTGAAAACTGAGTGTATGCGCCTCAGTTCTCAGCAGAACAGATGAGTTTAATAAGATTTTGCCAAGTTCCCACTGCACACATGCAATTTTAATTCTTTCCCTTTGCTGTTTATAAAAAGTACTAAAAAATCATGTGCTAAGCAAGTATGCCAAGTAATCAACATGACAACTGTTATCATCTAACACCTATTAAGGTGGGCACCCACTAAGTGCCAGTTCTTCTGCTTCATAATGCCATTTAACCTTCCCAGGACCTCTGTACAGGAGGGATATTATACTTATTTTATAGGTGGGGACACTGAATTCAGAGAAGTTGTTTGTCTAAACACACTCAAAAGGGAAATGGCAGAGGCAAGATTTTTTTTTTATTTTGGACAGAGTCTTGCTCTGTCACCAGACTGGAGTGCAGTGGCACCATCTCAGCTCACTGCAACCTTCACCTCCCAAGATCAAGTGATTCCTCTGCCTCAGCCTCCCGAGTAGCTGGGACTACAGGCACACACCACCAGGCCCAGCTAATTTTTTTTGTATTTTTGTAGAGACGAGTTTTCACCTTGTTGGCCGGGATGGTCTCTGTCTTCTGACCTTGTGATCCGCCTACCTTGGCCTCCTGAAGTGCTGGGATTACAGGTGTGAGCCACCACGCCCAGCCTCAGAGGCCAGATTTTAATCTAAGACTGCCTCACATCAAAGTCTTTGCCTATTCCTTTTATTTTTCTTCATTTTTATGTATATTTTTTGAGATGGAGTCTTGCTCTTGTTGCCCAGGCTGGAGTACGGTGGTGCTATCTCGGCTCACGGCAACCTCCGCCTCCCGGGTTCAAGTGATTGTCCTGCCTCAGCCTCCTACTACACTGCCTGGCCCAAGGTTGGTGCTCAGTGAGTTTGCTGAATGAATATCCCAAGTGACTGATGACGATGATTGAAAAAACTGGGAACATAACCTGTCATTCGCAAAGCATGTATGTACCATGCACACACATGCACATGTGCATGGTACATACACGCAAATACGCACACACGTGCAGCTCTGTAAATCCTTGAAGCATCATCACAGCTCTGAGGACAGTTGCTACCAGTATCCCTCTTTTACTGATGGAGAAACGAAGGCAGGTGTTAGAACCCAGGCCTGTGTGCTTCCAAATCACGAGCCTTAAACATCGCTGCTCTGAAAACACCTTTGCTTCATCCAGAGGCTGGATGCATGGGGCTTCTTAGGTTAGTCTTAAGAGGGCTCAGTTTTGGATTTCATCCTCCCTCCTGCCCCAAAGTCTGGGTCACAACTTTGGTTGAAACCCTGCACGTCCTCCTTCTTAAACCCCAAAAAAGGGTTGCTTCCTTTCCAGCCCCACAGCCGCCAGCCTCCATGGGCCCCCTCCTCTGTTTGGGTAGAGGCTCCTGCACGCCGTCAGCCTCCTGTTCTAGCACCCTCCCCTGCCGCCAAGGCAGCGCTCAGAAAGCTCAGCCTAAGCCCCCCAGGCCCTCCCTTCACTGCCACAGACTAACATAGCAGCCTCCTAGGCCTCGTTCAAAGACCTCCCAATCTTTGTTGTTCTGTCTGTGACTCACTCACCCATGTCCCTTCCCCCAGCTCCAACCAGGCCAAGCCGCCCCAGCCTCTCCAGTCATCCTGCTGCTCTCAGGCCTGACAAAAGAACATCTCAGCATCCCCCTGTTGTCTATCATCCTAGTGGAGAGATGCTGCCCAGATCAGATCACCTGGCCTGGGCCTGCTCCTCACAGGGCTGGTGCCCGACTGGTTCCTGGGATCTTCCAGGACACAGATTGGGGGCACTCAAATATGTATCTCCAACATAGGGCCTGGGCGTACTAAGTGCTCAGTAAGCACTATCACCTCCCGCGGGCACGAGGTTTGGACAGACCTGCAGTAGCCGTTGATGATCCTCCCAGACACCACCTTCCGGAAAGGCTCCCAGTGCTTGGCTTCTCCCTCCACAGGTGCGCCCAGCAGGACCACATCCTCGATGATCCCTTGGCAATCTGGCAAAGAGTCCAGCAAAGGCCATCAGTGTCCCTGGCCACAGAGGGTGCTAGGAGGGGCTCTCCAACAGCAATGGAGGAGACAAATGTCTCACACATACACATGCACACACATGAACATGGACAACCATGTGCATATGTGCACGCACACACGTGCAAACACGCAAACACAAGCATGCACAGGCATGGAGGTTGCTACCTACTGAGTTCCAGACCTTGAGTCAAGCTTCTTACATGCCTAATCTATTCATTCAAAGCTTCATTATCCCCATTTTATTTATTTACCTAATTAAAATTTTTTTTTGAGACGGCATCTTGCTCTGTCACCCAGGTTGGAGTGCAATGGGGTGATCTCAGCTCACTGCAACCTCTGCGTCCCAGGTTCAAGCGATTCTCCTGCCTCAGCTTCCCGAATAGTTGGGATTACAGGCACGCACCACCACACCTGGTTAATTTTTTGTATGTTTTGGGGTTTCACCATGTTGGCCAGGCTGGTCTCAAACTCCAGACCTCAGGTGGTCCTCACACCTTGTTGGGATTACAGATGTGAGATACCACGCCTGGCTTCACTGTCACCATTTGAGAGTTAAGGAAAACCAAAGCCATCTGCAAGATCACATGGCTAAGTTCCAACACAACCGGAGCTGGAACCCAGGTCTCTCTCCACCATCCATGAAGCTTACACTAGCCGTAGACTATGGATGGATGTCTTCCTTCAGAAGAGACTAACAGGCCCTGCATCATCTTGCATGCCAGGTGGGAGAAATCAGTACCTTCCTCTGCAAAAGGGTCCCTGGGATCTGTGCAGACTGGGTGGGAGGAGGGGGGTAAAGAGGAGATGGTGTGAATAGGTCCCGGGGTCAGGGAGTGCATTCGTCAGCTGCATCAATCTAATGATTCAGGAACTATTCAAAGTGCAATCTGGGCTAGGGGTGGAGGCTCACCTAGTGTTGGTACCCCCAGCATTTTGCAAAGGTGAAGCATAAGGATCACTTCAGCCCAGGAAATCAAGACCAGCTTAGACAACATAGTGAGATCCCTGTCTTTACAAAAGAAAAGAAAAGACAAAAGGCCGAGGCCGGGTGCAGTGGTTTATGCCTGCAATCCCAGCATTTTGGGAAGCCAAGGCAAGTGGATCACTTAAGGCCAGGATTTAGAGATCAGCCTTGCCAGCAGGGCAAAACTCCATCTCTACTAAAAATATAAAAATTAGCTGGGTGTGGTGGCGGAAGCCCGTAATCCCAATTATTTGGGAAGCTGAGGCATGAAAATTGCTTGAACCTGGGAGGCAGAAGTTGTGGTGAGCTGAGATTGGGGCACGGCACTCCAGCTTGGGCCACAGAGTGAGAATCTGTCTCTCTCTCTCTCTCTCTCACACACACACACACACACACACACACACTAGCTGGGCATGGTGGTGCATACCCATAATCATAGCTACTTGGGAGGCTGAGGTAGGGAGATTGCTTGAGCCCAGGAGTTTGAGGCCACAATGAGCTATGATCACACCGCTGCACACCAGCCTGGGTGACAAAGCCAGACCTGGTCTCAAAACAAGCAAAAAAACACCAAAGTGCAATCCAATTGTTCTGTAAGTACAGAAATAGAGAAGCAGCCTGTCTTTTTAAATCCTGCTGCAGATTGGAAACCAGTAGTTCCCAGATGGGCATGTGGACCAGGCTCCAAGAAACGCTGCCCTGGACAAACAAGAAGTGCAAAGGTATCCCTCATCCAGTCTCTGTCCTGTCCTCTGCTTTATTTTTCTCCCTGTCACAGATCATTGTTGATCATCTGTCTCCTCCTCTAACATGGAGGTTCAATGAGGGCAGGGACTCCATCCAGTGCCTTATTCACAGCAGTGTGGCAGGGCCCAGAGCAGCACCAGGTACAGATTTGGTGCTCAGTAAAGATTTGAATGAATGAATCAGTGAATAAACATCTCTCTCTATCAGAAAAACCAGTTTACGGGCTTTGACATCAGGTTCAAATCCCAGCTTAGCAACTTCTGAGCTATGTGACTTGAACCAAATCAGGTAATTTCTCCAAGCTTAAAAGAGGATGATGCTGCTAGCCTTGTAGGGTCTTTATGAGGATTAAGTCACGTGGCAAAAACCCCAGCATAGTGAATGCACAGTGGGAGTTCGTGCCCCCACTGGCCTGCCTGGCCCCCTGCCTCCCGCTTCTGGCTCTTTTCTTTTCTTTTTGGGATGCAGTCTCACTCTCACCTAGGCTGGAGTGCAGTGGTGCAATCTTGGCTCACTGCAACCTGCAATTTCCACCTCCCAGGTTCAAGCTATCCTCTTGCCTCAACCTCCCAAGTAGCTAGGACTACGGGTATGCACTACCAAGCCTGGCAATTTTTAAAATTTTAGTAGAGATGGGATTTCACCATTTTGGCCAGGCTGGTCTCAAACTCCTGACCTCAGGTGATCTGCCCACCTCGGCCTCCCAAAGTGTTGGCATTATAGGTGCGAGCCACTGCACCTGGCTGGCTCTTCCTAATGGTCTGAGTTATTTCACACACTGGGAAGCCGCATGCTCAATTCATTTTTGGAAAATGTGCTTGGCTGGGGCAGCTTTGACCATCTCTGCTAATCTTTTGCTGAGTGACACAGGACAAACGGCTTCCTCTCTCTGGGCTCCAACTTCTAACCACAGTGCTTCCCATGGTTTTCCATTCAGGCTTCCACGTCAGAGTTTGTCTGAATACAGGGCTGCAGGCTAACAAGAGTTTGAAAACCCTTGTACCAAGTTCTCTGAGTTCTTCTCTGGCTCTGAGGTTAAAAGACTCCATAGCACAGAATTCTGATTTCACTCCTTTTGTTTCCAGGATGATGATAATCTGGCAGAAGAATATACAACTTCAGTAAGCTGACAGTTTGTAGCGAACAGCAAGGATGGCTCAGATACCCTCCAACATAAGGGATATTTCAGGTGCTTTCGTTGTTGGCAAGGCTGTTGCTAAAAAGGCCCTTAGAGATTAACACTATTTCCCTTGGAAGATGAGGAAACAGGCTCAGAGAGGGGATGAGGCTTGCCCAAGGTCACACAGCCAGTGAGAATGAGCCTGGGACCAGAACCCAGACTGCACCCAGAGCGGCTGGCCTTTCTCTCTGCTGTCTGCAATAACAACGTGCACAGGGATCATACGCGGGTTATCGTAGCTCCCACAGTGCCAAATGGTGTGGACCCAGGGCTAACCATGAACTCAGCAGCTTTCTCTGGGGGCCGGCCATTCAGGACCCCTTCTCTGCCAAGCAGAGTCTTGCCTGCTAAGAGCTGGGTCTGCTTTTCAAGCCTTGGTGCTGCTGCCTGCGGGGCTGGGACCCCTTGTGGCAAGCGGCAGTAATAGCAGCATTCCTGAGCCATAGTCAGGATCCAGGGACAGCTGTCAGGAAAACCTAAAAAGGGAGTTGCCTGCGATTTTAAACTGAGACTTTTAGTAGAACCACATAAAATAGTCCTGAGGCTGGGTGAGTTGGCTCACGCCTGTAATCCCAGAACTTTGGGAGGCTGAGGCAGAAGAATCGCTTGAATCCAGGAGGCAGAGGTTGCAATGAGCCAAGATCATGCCATTGCACTCCAGTCTGTGTGACAAGAGCAAAACTCCTCAAAAGAAAAAAAAAAAAAAAAAAAGTCCTGAACAGCCAAACCAAGCTGGCAACACATTTACCCATCTCTGAAGCCGGACTGACTGCTGCCGAGCTGGGCCCCTCCCCCTTTCCTCCTTAGACTGCTGCCATGCCCAGATGTAGCCTTAGATTTTAAAGATTTGCTCCCTTCGTGGCTGCAGACCTGGAGATAAGCTATGTGGCAGCCTCTCAGTAATGCATGGTGTTAGCTAAGGGCAGTTGGCAAGAATCACCTTAGACTAGGTTGTCCAATCTTTTGGCTTCCGTTCGCCACGCTGGAAGAATTGTCTTGAGCCACACGTAAAATACACTAACAATAGCTGATGAGCTAAAAAAACCTCATGGTGGCTGAAGCCGGTAATCCCAGCACTTTGTGAGGCCGAGGCAGGGTGGATCACAAGGTCAGGAGTTCAAGACCAGCCTGGCCAACGTGATGAAACCCCATCTCTACTAAACATACAAAAATTAGCTGGGTGTGGTGGCGGGTGCCTGTAATCCCAGCTACTCAGGAGGCTGAGGCAGAGAATTCCCACCCAGGAGGCGGAGTTTGCAGTGAGCTGAGATCTTGCCATTGCACTCTAGCCTGGGTGACAGAGCAAGACTCCATCTTGAAAAAAGAAGAAAATCTCATGATGTTTTGAGAAAGTTTACTAGTTTGTGTTGAGCTGCATTCAAAGCCGTCCTGGGTGCATGCGGCCAGCACGCCACTGGTTGGACAAGCTTGCCTTAGACCCACCCACGGTAGATGTGATGTGGATAGGAGGGCAGAGCCCGTTACTACCTGACTGTTCCTTGAATGGAAACCTACTGGAAAAAGATGATACTGGCTGCTGTCATAGCTGCTGGAAAAAAAAAAGTCAAAATCCACTGTTTGGTTCAAAACCTTATAATACTAGAAGACTTCAGCCTTCTAGGTAAACTACAAAAAATCCTCACTCAGGTACCACTTTTTAATTTAATTTGAATTAATTTTTTTGAGACAGAGTCTCCCTGTTGCCCACGCTAGAGTGCTGTGGTGCAATCATGGCTCACTGCAACCTCAGCCCCATGAGCTCAAGTGATTCTCCTGCCTCTGCCTCCCAAGTAGCTGGGACTACAGGTGTCCGTCACCACGCCTGGCTGATTTTTTAAATTTAATGGAGATGAGGCCTTACCATGTTGCCCAGGATGGTCTCAAACTCCTGAGCTCAAATAAACCTCCTGCCTTAGCCTCCTAAAGTGTTGGGATTTACAGGAGTGAGCCACGGCATCTGGCATGGGTACCACTTGTAGTCAAGCAAGTCCCTTCCACGGGGACAGAAAATCCTTCAGATCATAATGTGGATTCGGCATAGAATGCCCCCAGTTTTCAAGAATGACAAAGAAACT